TGTGCTTTATCTCTCTGCCTTGAGAAGAGCATGTGCAAGATGAGCGATATGTGAAGCAGACCTGAATCAAATTTTGACCTGCAGCTTGAGGCCCCTAACCCCTACCCCTGCTGAAGCTAACCCAGGAGCAAAACAAAACAAACAATCCTACAAATGTTTGTCCTTGTAAATCACTAAGAGTTTGTTACTCAGTATTATTGGAGCAGAACCCTGACTACTACACTTGTCTACATCCTTCACTAGGTTGCAAGCTCCACGTAGGCATGAAAGACTGCATCCCAAGCACCTAGCACAGGGCTAGCACACTGCAGGTGCTCAAAAAATACCTGCTGATTCGATGTACAACTGAGTGAATGAACCTTGAGCACTGACGCGTCTGTCTCCTAATTAATGTGTGAATTCCTTAAGCCCAAGAGTGGCAACTGATTTTCTTCAATGTCAGCTAATTATCTGACTTCCCACATTGGGTTCTTGGTAGATATTCAATAAACATTTGTTGAAATTAAATAAATTGAGTTGTGTGGGCTGACTTGGGAATCAGCCCTTGACTGATGACATTGTTTCTATGGGAAATTGCGTTCTGAGTGCCAAACATACTCGTGAACTTTTGGAACCTCATCCGTTCATTGGTTCAGGATTGCCAGTTTTGTGGAAATCCATAACTGAACACATGTGCTTTGCAATATGGGAGAAACTGAGAAACTTCTTCCCAAGATATTCAGCCTGCAAAAATTCACTTTCCGCCCACACAGGCAAACTCATCACAGGTTGGATGTGAAGTTCCAACAATAAAACACCAGACTTTTTAGAGCTCATTGTTTATCTAGTTGCTTTTTATCTGCTTATAAGGGATGCCTATTATTAACACCCCAGCCAAAGGAAGTTAAGATAATTTTCTTGCCCCGCCCCCCAAAGGAATCCACTCTCTAGACACACAGGCAAGAAATCACAACCTTCTCAACAGAGAAAATGAGTTATTTTTATAAATAAATCTGCGGCATTTAAAATAAACACAGTGGGATGCTCTACAGTTATAAGAAAACATCCCCCTTCAGAATTCCTAATTTTGAATGGTACTGGAGCTCCATGTGAGTCAGAGATCTGAGGCTTAGTTTTATTAAATCTCAGGCCCGAACCAAGCCACTGTGAAACCAAGTAATCTGTCATGGGTGGAAAGGTCCGTCAGCCCACAATCCAGAGTGCTATATAATACTTTATACACAAGCCTTCTGCCAATGATAGAGTTTCCCAATCATTCTACTCCACTCATTTAATATAGATCTACTATGTGCCAGGCACTGTTCTAGATTCTGGGGAATATGATGACGAATAAGACCAGGTCCCTATGCAATTTACATTTTAATGAAGGAAGAGGCAGAGAAATAAGAACATTTCTGATAGTGATGGGCCGTGAAGGAAATAAAGCAGCGATGCCACTAAGTGAGGGGGGATACTTCAGGCTGGATGATCCCGTGGAGATGTGTGAGCTGGGATGTGATAATCAAGAAAGAGCCAACTGTGCAAAGATCTGGGGAAGAGTATCCTAGTCGGAGGAAATAGCAAGTGCAAAGTCCCTGAGGCAGGAACAAGCTTGGCACGTTCCTGAGTCAAAAAGGAAGCCGGTGTGGCTAGGGGAGATGGAGGAGAGAGTGGCCTTAGAGTCTGAGAAATAGTGCAGGGCCAGACTATGGAAAGCCTTGAACGTAGGCCCTTGGGGATAAGGGATTCAGGCTGAACTCTAAGACAGAAGCCAGTAGAGGATATTAAGCTGGGAAATGGCATGGCCTGGTTTAGAGTTTAAAAGGCAGAGGTGGGGGAGTAAGAGCAGAAGCAGGGGCAGCAGTGAGCAGGCTTCTATAGAAGCCTGTGTCCTCAACCTCTTCTCCGGTTCTTCCTTTCACCTGCTCTTTCGGAAACCTGGCTCTGCCTGAGGACACAGCTTCCGTGTGCCTGCTCAGGGCTGGCTGCTTCCTCTCCCCCATGGTAGGTGTCCTGCTTGCATCTGACCTCCACTTCCGGACAATTCTTCTTCCCTTCTTTCTAAGCCTGCCACAGCCCCACCACATCTTTGAAGTGCTGCCATCAGTCCACATCGCCCCAAATTCCTTGCTGTGGTAACCATCTTCAAACCACCTCCACCGACAGGCCTATGCCTTCCTTTTCTTGAATATCTGGCTCCTCACTCTCCAGCACTGCTCCCACAGTCGTTCTTGGTGATTGCAATTTTCACACAGATAATCTATCCACCTAATACGCTGACACCTCAGTTCCTTGACTGCTCTGCCAATAATCTTGTCCTCCATCCTACTTTAGCTGCATAATCATACCCTAGATCTTGTCACTGCTAGTAACTCCACCCCCTCCATAACCTTAATTTCACGCTGTCATAGTCCAACCACTACCCTTTTCCCAGTTCCCAGCTTCAATAAGTCTTCCCCCCAATTGCAAACCCCAGGGCACAGATCCATCTTCTCACATCCCTCACCCACCTCCTTAGAGTTCACTTACAGTGTAAGGCTCCAAGTCCACTATTATAAGTATCAATATCCATATCACTATCATGGTCCCTCCTTTGTGTGCACCCTCAGTGTCCAGGCCCCTCTGCCCCCTCTTTAAGTACTTGCTGTCAAAGTCCCAATTCTGGCTTCGTCTAAGTCTCACCTCCTCTATGACTACACCAACAGACCCAAATGTGACGAAAGTGGGCCCTAAAGCTTCCTGGTAGTGATTCTCTATTTCCCATCTCCTCTCTCTCCCACTCTAATTCACACCTTCTCTCTCTTTTCCCTTCAAACCCCAGGGCTTCCTCCCCCACCTTTCCTCACTCTCACTTGTCTTAAGTCACTGAAAATTATGTAAGCAATATGAAAAGTCATGGTGCGTCCTTACATCACCCACTTGGTCCCGGGCCCATATCCTCACCTTCCCTCCCATGACCAAGAAGGACTGTCCCACGCTCCTGTGTGAGGCTGGCCTCCCCATTGGTATACTAGACAGATCATGTTTTCCCTCATCTGCTGAAAGACACACTCCACAGGCTCTCATCTCTCTTCTGCATCATCAGTTTCTTCCTCTCTATTGAACCTTTCCCAACAGCCCCAAAATGCACTGTGGTTTCATGCCTCCCATAAACAACAAAACTGTCTGGACTCCACTTTCTCCCCCAGCATCAGCTCCCTTTTCTGCTACCTTTCCCACCAAAGCTCCTCTAGCGAGCTGTCTCTGCCCTGCCTCCTGTATCTTCCCTGGCAGCTTGAGCACCACCTCCCCAACTGTCCTGGTCACAGTCACAGTCAGCGCCTGCTAAGTCCGGCGGAGCAGCTCCCTTCTCTTGCCTGACCTCGCAGCACGATCTGGCACAGCAGATGCTCCCTCCTCCCCCTGGCTTCCCAGACCACCTTTTTTAGTTTTTCTCTTCCCTTTCTGGCTGTTCCTTCCCCTGTCCGTTTCCTCTTCAGCTCCCTGACCCCTAAGAACTGCCCCACACCTATGCTTAGGTCTCCAACTACTTCTCCCCTCAATTTACACTCCCTCTCCAACATGGTCAGAAGGCTTCCTTATGCCCATCTAAACACGACTAACTCCCAAATTCATGTCCCCAGCCTGGAGGTCTCCCATGTCCTGTGTTTGCCAATACAGTAGCCACTAGCTCTGTGTGGCTATTTTATCACCCTCACCACTACCACCACCACCATCGCCACAGGCACTGAATTAACTCCTGCGTGCAGCTCTACAGATACAGACAGGGAACCTACATAAGTGGAACGGATCAGAAAGATTACAGCAAGACTGCTTAGTGGGTGTGCGATGATGAAACGCTGCTCATGATCAGCTAATTCCTTAAACTCTACTCTTGGGCAGGCGACAAGAAGAAAACGTTCCTACCCGGTTACAATTATTCATGAGAATTCTCCTGGCCCTGCTTCTTTGTCTGCCAGCAATTCTAGGGAAACAGCCCGGGAAGGAGGCGCAGGGGAAGGCACAGGCAATTATGCATCTTGCTGCATCTCAGCTTTGGATGTCCTCCGTGAACTCTTAATTAATTCCACCCTTATATTTTCGGTTTGTTTTCTGGACCTCTTGCTTACATTGTGTTTCCCCCCCTCTCCCTTTACTGCTCTTGGCTTCATCCCCTAGAGGCTCCCAAATTCTCTTCCTAGTCCTCTTTTCTTTCCTCAAACCTCCCCTTGTTCAGCCTCCAGCTTCTCTGCACCTGTTCTACTCTTTCTTATCCTTTTTTACCTTTGAAAATGGAAAGCGCCAAACTGACAGACACTGTTATGGTTTGTGTTTTTTTCTTTCCCTGCCTGAGCTGCAGCTCAGGCTACCCCCCCCCCCCCTCCCCTTGCTTCTATAGAGAGCGAGTACTGGGTTGCCATGGCAACAGCAATCCAACCAGGCGGGTCCCAGTGATGCTAGGAGCTGCCATGGTGAGGAAGCGGCTCCAAGTTGCCCCTGAGCCTAGATGGGTCGCGAGCGTCGTAATTCAAGAGCAGGCTGGGCAGATTCTGCCGGGAGCCTGAGGTTGTACATCAGGCCCACAGCTGTATGGCGCACTCAGAGACAACGGCATCAGTAATGAAGCTTCCACTGCACCAACCGAATACATGACATTATGAGGATTCATTTGAAAAATTTCAAACAGCCCTATTCTTCTACCTTCCCGGAGGGAGAACCTCCCGCCTGTCTCGGGAGTCTAGGAGAACTCTGCAGAAAGAGAAAGCAGACTGACAGCTCGAGCCCATCTTCCCTTATGTCACATGCCTGCCCCTCCCACCCCCAGCGTGGGCGACCCTGAGTGGTCGGGGTCAAACGACTGAGAAGCACTGACTTGGCTGGGAGCATCTCTGGGAATGAATTCGGATCACACACTGATATTTTAGTCGCACAGAGGTCAGTGTCCCCAGGTCGCTGGGATGAATTGTTAAAGTGGGGCAACAAGTGTTCTGTGCGTGACACTTTTCTAAGATGTGAGCTGGTGGGAAGGCGTTCAGAGGTACCTCTGTAGCGAATGGCACCAGCCGCAGTGAGGGTCTGCCGCTGCTAGGCACTCCGAACAGGACTTATGCTTATGGCAGTTCGCAACTCGAACTCTCCTCACCTAAAAAGAAAGATGACAGCAGTTCAGACAGAAGACAAACAACGCCAGAAAAACCGCACGCCTTACCTGATGAAGGGCCACGGATGTTTATGGGCTCACACTCTGAATGCCTCCAAGGTGACAGTGGGCAGGGGTCTCAAGTCCCAGGGTGGGAACAGGTTATCAGAATCACCTTGGGAGCTTGTGAAAGTGCCTGCGGGGACTCCCGCTGAGGAGGACTAGGGCCAGCTGAGGAGTCTGCACCCTTAAGCCCCTCAGGTGAGTCTGAAACGCAGGAAGGTTTCTGGTCTGCTGAATCAGGTCAGCTGGCTTCATACAGAGTCAAAGGTACTTGGAAATGAGCATCTGGAAATAGCAAAGGCGCTGACCCGGAGTAGCACCTGGTTGTTGTTCCTGGACAAAGAAGTGAGAAGCCGCCACCCCTTCATCACCTCACACCCTCCCCACCCTGGAGTTGAAAGTAAAAACAAAACAAAATATGGGAGTTTTCAATCATTCCCTGCCCCTAGGGCTGCTTCTTGAAGTTGCCAGAAAAAGCCACAGACAGGGAGACAGGGCGCAGTGCTGGGCAGACCCAGGCTGTGGAGGCAGGCAGAGCCTGGAAGCAAGCGGTGGGAGGCAGGGGCCTGAGGGCCGCACAGAAGGCAGTGAAGAAACCTGTGGGACTCATGAGGACAGAAAACTATATTTGTTAGGAAGTATAAGTAACTTCTTTTAAAGTTTAGAGATACAGAGAGTTTTGGAGGGGTCTGTGAGGAAAATGGGCGATCCTGAGGAATATCTTTTGACTCTAAGTTGACTTCGTGGAGGATAACCACGCCCGTCCACTTCACAGTTCTTGGTGCTGCTGACAGACATACTGACGGACCACCAGCCCGAGCCAGCGGTAACCAGTGTGTGGGTATTTCCTTGTAGCTCACAAATATCTTTGTAATTCTGGGGGGCTGGAGGGGGTGTTCATAAATGTCACATAAGCTCTCTAACTTTGTTTTCTCATCCGTGAAATGGTGCTGGTGCTGCAGACTTCCTGGGGCTATTACAAACACTGTCTGGCACATACTAAGTGCTCAATAAATGTTGGCTATTGCTATTATGTGAGAAAAGTGTCCACGGTCCAACAAACACGTGAAATCTTACACTGAAAAAGCAAAATAGGTTTCCTCAGCACAAGGCTCAGAGCTTTTGAATATGCTGAAATCATGATAGTCCAGCAGGGGGATAGTCAGTAACAGCAGCTGCTAGGACAATTTTTACTCAAAGCATTTAGTGGAATATGAATCTCTAGAATATTCTATAAGAATTACCATACAATGTACTTAAACAAACATATAACTCCATATAAAAAAGAGGACACTATAAATACTACATTAGACCTGCTTCTTCAACTGAACACACAATAGTGACTATTCCACAGCAATGAATGGATCTCCATGTGGTTATTTTTAATGGCTACATATTATACCATTCTATGGACGTATGAGGGCATGTTAGTTTGGCCATTACTACCAGTATTTGCCCAAGAATGTAATAAAGGAGTTTCCTTCGGTCTGACTCTGTTGGGGTTATCTTGGCCCAACCAGAGCCTTGGGGATAAGATCTCTGGCAGGAAACCCAAGTGAAGAGTGTAAGAATAACCAGCTCCGATGCCCAGTGGAAAAGTCTCCTTAGGACGTCTGTGGGATGACCAGAAACCAGAGCAGTTCACCCTCAGAAAGTGAACACCTGTCAGCTACTGGAGGCTCTTGCAATGGTCCCCAGCCTATGGTCCTGAGTTCCAGGGAAGGTGGTAATGAAGACTTCTGAGCTATTTGCAATGTTTTTAAAAGCTGAATGGAAAAACACATGCAGACTAAGCCAGACTTTAAGTGTTAGTGCTTTAGGCTGGAATTTTATCAACTTTGTGGCAGTACAGTCTGTCCCCTGACTGTTAGCTTTAGATGCCCTTGATAAATATGGCCTGAGAGTGGGAGTCGTTACTTAATATACGCACTTTGTTGAGGAGACAAAAATCTTTCAAATATGGGAACCCTGGGGAAGAGAAATAGTAAAAAAAATTTTGGAATGGGGAAGCACGCTGGTCAAGATCCCATATGGTGAAGAACTGGCTTACAAAGGTATATGAGGTCCAGTGGCCATCGAGATGTGGTCAGTTAGCCATAACTGACTTTTCAACATGCAAAGAGCAATGAGGCCTCTTTTAGGAATTCCAGAAACTACAAGTGCTCGCAAAGCTACTCTGTGGCGCTAACAACACATATCAATTAATGCCATTGCTACAGTCCTTGGAGTGCTTGAGAGGAGAAAATGAAAAACTGGGGTAGGCCACAAGCATCATAATTATATCCCTGATATAATTATGTAAGTCTCAATTATATTCTTTGTCCTTTGTATGTGCAAATAATCATGGGTCAAAACCACTGTGCCAAAATGGCCTTTCAGTTTTCACAAATTTGTGATTTGATCTCATTTATCACGGGCTTTAAAAGATCAGAGCATAATTTAAATCCTAGTTCTGACAGACCTAACCGATATATGTATCCTTGAGCAGGTCATTTAACCTTTCCAAGTCTTAGCTTCTTCATATATACAAAACAAAGGTATTTTTATACCATTAAATTATTAATAGTTTTCATTAGCATTATTTATTATAAGTGTGTGTACACAACTCTATGTGTCTCATCTAGAGACCATATGTAGAATGATAATTGGTACACAGTCAGGAGGGACTCAGTAAAAATTAGTTTATCTCCCCCTTCCCTGGTGAAGCTCTTTGTAAAAATGAAAAAAATGTAGAAAGGTATCCTTTGTAATTCAGTAAGCAGAAGCAAGAAGAAAACCTAAAAAAACAGCCAACCACATTAATAGAGGGAGGGCAAGTGCCACATATTTCCTGGTTAATGAATGTGTATGAGACTGTGAACTGATATTAACCCCAAATTCCAAAGTTAATCCTATTGGGTATATTCATAAATGCATCTAATCGTTCAGAGCCACACAATAAATGTGTAAATTCAGCCACCTTGCTGATGGTGCGCCATTTGCAAGCACATCCTCCTCTGCAAAACCTGGCATTAAAAATACAGCCAATAATAACATTGTCTAAACAGGTAATATTTCTTGCTTAGTTACTGACAGTAATGTTTTTTAATTCTGTGCTTGTGAACCATTGCCTGCAGCGATGGTTAAACTCAACAGTTCAAAGTAAAAGCTTCACTACTAGATAATGACATCAATTAAACACTCTGTATTCATAAGTCAGAAGCAGTAACTAGTTTTTTTACCTACCTCTTTTCCAGCTGTTAGGTAGATGTAGATATTCTTCTCAGGATGTGGAACGAGTTTGTAAAAAACAGGTGTTTCTTCTTTAATTTCATAGATAACCTCCGGACAATTTGAGGTCAAATTCTCACCAAGAATAACCTGTGGGTTGTTTTTTATTCCAAAAAGATAAATATAATTTCTATTAAATATTTTGAATAGCAGGGTGGCAAAACTTGTATCTTAATTCTAAAACCACATCCTTCCATACTACATATACCAGCTAAGGTACTCATTTCCTTCACCATGTCTGCCTTCAACAGGGCTGATAATAATAAGCACAGTATTTCTGCTTCTGTATGGGACAAAGCCACACGTGCACATGCAAGAATGCACGCGCGTGCAAGTGCATGCACACGCGCATGCGCACACACACACACAGTAACTATTCAATGCTGGGCAATATGCTCACATGTGGGAGCTCATCCACAATTCCTGACCATGGCTGATTGGCCTTCTGTGAAGCTACAGTAACAGCTTCTTTAGTACCAGGCCAAGACCTATCTTAACACAAAAGAAAGTCAGCTCAACATATATTTTGTGTGGGTTATTCTGGTTCTCCCATTTAATTCTACATAGTCATGCATTTTAAAGCAATCGGGACAACTTACCAGAGCTAAACAAAGAGTATGTATTTACTAGTACAGTATATGTAAAATGTAAGCGAGTCTGACTTTGAAATAGGACAAACATCAGCTTCAATCATCTTTAATCAGTAAACATCTACTGAACAATCACTATGTATTAGGCAACTTGTAGGTGTTTGGACCATGCAGTGGGGGGTGGGGAGGGGTAGGGAGGAGTGGGAAGAATGGGGAGGGAATCCTGCCCTCAAATAACTTACATGCGTGCAAGGAAATGGCAACAGTTAACAAAAAGTAAGTAACATATATATATATATCAGGTCCTAAAAGTCAAAATGAGGAAGGGTAATAAGCTGGAGAGTGCATGTTCAGAGTAGGTCTCACTGAGAAGGTAACACTCCTTTAGAGACTATCAATGGATGATGGCATCACTTAGACATCTGGACAAAGTGTAATGTCTAAGAGGGACCCACTGGTACACAGGCCCCCTGCTGAGAGGAGGCCAGTGTGATGTGAGCAGAGTAAATGAGTAGAAGAGAGTGGGCAGTGAGGCAACAGAGGGGATAATACAGGTTCTGGCAGGCCTGTGTAAAGAAAGCTGTTGCCTCAGACTCTGGGTGAGAAAGAGGGAGCCATTGCAGGGCTTGGAGCAGAGGAGTGGGGTGGGGAGAGGGCAGGGTTTGTAGCATGGGTAGAAGTCTCACCAGGAGACTCTCACCATAATCCTGGAGAAATATAATGGTAGCTTGGGCTCAGGTGTCCACCCCCACTCTACCCTTTAAGTGACTGTGCTGCTTTGAACTGGTAACTTAACCTCCTTGGTCTCAATCACCTCATGTCTAAAACGAGGCTAATAACTCCTTTCTTAAACATAGCTATTCTAAGGATCAAATTAAACTTGTGGAAGATGCTTAGCACATGATAAACACTCAATAGATGATAATCTTTTACTAGATTGCAAGCTCCTTTTGGGTAGGAATCATGTCTTAATCATCTTTGTACCTATCTCTTGCGCAATACAATATCTTTAAAAGTGAAGGTGTTCAACATTTTGTCAATGTGAACATATCCAGATAGAATATCTACATTCATATCTCTAGCACTGTGGATAGCACATGATGTGAAAAGAAAAAATTGGCACCTACATTCTTTTGAGACAAAAATCAACATCTGTGCATCTACTGATCAATAACATGCCCGAACCCACATATTCCAATAGCAATTATGTACTGATATTTCATCAAAAGCTATATATCAATTTGACACATGGAGCATCTTCCTACACCCCATCCTCGCTCCCAGAACCTGGGTCTGAGTCTGGCTTTGTCCTGCGATGGTGACCTCCTTCCATCATCTGCTCTGGGTCATGCCCAGTGCAAGTGGCTCACTAGGAGCCTGTGAACTACTCACTAAATTCAGTAGCAGCTCTGGAAAAAAGGGAACAGAAGCAGTCAGGTCCCAGGGAGGTGGGACAGATTTGTGCCTCAGGTCATTTTAAAATAATTCGACGGCTGCACCATTCAATACAGTAGCCACATCTGGCTACTTAAGTTTTAATTAAAGATTCAGTCCTCAGTCTCACTGGCCACCTTTCAAGCGCTCACTAGCCACAGGGTGCCGGTGGCTACTCCACTGAGAGTACAGACAGAGAACATTTCCATCGTCATGCAAAGTCCTATGGACAGCTCTGGCCTGCAGAAAACTGAGTGGAGGGAGACATCCGGCAAGCACTGACCAAGCAAGGATTTGCCAGGCTCTTGTCTTCCCACCTCTAATTTGTGGATGAAAGAGGGACCACAGACTGACCCTGCCAAGCTCAGGAGAGGCCTGCATGGTGGGCCTGCAAACTCAGAGACTGAATGTAACCACAGAGGAGGGTCAAACAGAAACGTTTCTAAGTCAGAGTGAGTCATGGCGGGTAGTCATCTTCTAGGCCTGTAACTCCATTGGCAAAGGCTAATCTTTACCTCAACTGAGCCTGTCCACTGTCTTTTTAGATGTAAAATAACATACTTGAAATATCAGAGTAATCTTCTTTTCCAGACCCCGCGGGGCCCAACTGCCAGCACCAGAACAGACCACAGAACCCCCCATTATCTTGTTCCCCAAATACTATCCCTATATGCCGTACCCACCAATGTAAAAGAAGTATGTGTTACTCTATTTTGCCTTTTTATCCAACCCCAGAGGTCCCCTCCCCGCCTTGCTTTCTCCTACACCCTTAATCCACCACGTGTGGATTTCATGTAACCTTCCTTACATCTCCTTGCATTGTAATGTATAAAATAAACTGCAACACTGCCATTCTCTGGAGCATTTTCTCAATTCCTTGAGATTTTTGCCTCCTGGCAATTGTTATCATTTTGACTCAAATAAACTCATAAAAATTCTCTACAGGTTTGGACATTTCTTATCCAAAGAAGCCCATCCAGGACCACTTGGCAGGCGCAGGCCTGGTGCTAGGTACCAACAAGGCTCACTACTCTGCACCAGGTGAATTTGGGTGAGTTTTCTTGAAAATCCAGACCTCTCTGTTTTAAGGTAGGAGGCTCTTAATTTTATTTTAGTTGTCCTTTAAAAATATAAAAATCCCTGAGATGGCACTGAAGGTTAAGGGTTGAGATAACTCAGGGATAGGAGAAATAAATGAGTGGATGGTTTTATATTTGAGCTGCTTAATTGGAACCATTTATTGCAAGTCTGAACAAAATTTTTTGCTGGGTAAATGAATTGTACATATATTTTGTCTGAACTCGTGTAGCTCCAAAGATAAGGGGCATTTGTTCCCTCCAGCTTGAAATTTGAGTATTCTTAGTGACTAAGAATCAGTGTAGTGTCAGAGCCCTCAAAACGAACAGGGCCCCATAGGGAATTCCAATACAACTGTAATGAAATAACTGATTTGTCCCAGGACTCACACAGAAGGGCTGGCTACCTAGCTCTCACAGTTCTATTAGACAGCCGGGAGAGGAACCAAGACATATCAGTGGGCTGGAGCAACTTGGGAGGTGACAGCCCCTTGGAGCTCAGCCATAAGTGGCACACTTCACCCACCACACAATATCCCTGGAAATGTGTTCAGACTCCACAGATCTCAAAATAAAACTAAATTAACATGGGTTTTGGAAATCGTGCCTCCAGGGCTGACAAGCCCCCACCCTCAGCCCCCGTTAATATGCCTGCAGATGTGCAATTCATAGGGAGCCTTTACTTGCAAGTACTTACAGAAATGGGAGGATTCAACTGGAATTGACATGAACTTAAGATGACCAAAATGGAGCTCTTTTGACACCTGAATTGATTTTTACGTGTACAATAGAAAAAAAGCCGGCTCCGAAATCAAATTTAATGAATGAGAGGCTTCCCTCAATTGGCACATAGAAGGCTCTGAAGCAGAGCACAGAGAGACATTCTTTCCAGGAAGTTAATAAGGCAATTTTAGAGGCTCTTCCTGAACTAAAGAAGCTTCCCAAGCTACTCAATGCCAGCACCCACTCTTCCTCTTCGCCAACTGCCCACCCTGCTGGTTTCTTTGCTGTTTGACTTACACTCCTTTCCTCCTCCCTCTTCACTCTCTTCTATGTGTCCTCACCACAGCTGCCTACTGACCGAGGGGACACTCAGAATAGAAAACCAGCCGAAACCAGTTTGGCTCAGTGGATAGAGCGTCGGTCTGCGGAATGAAAGGTCCCAGGTTCGATTCCAGTCTGGGCATGTACCTTGGTTGTGGGCATATCCCCAGTAGGAGGTGTGCAAGAGACAGCTGATCGATGATTCTCTCTCATCGATGTTTCTAACTCTCTATCCCTCTCTCTTCCTCTCCATAAAAAAATCAATAAAATATATTTTAAAAAAATTAAAAATTAAAAAATAGAAAACCAGAACAGGATAGACTAGAAAAGCAAAATAAAACAAGCTAAAAATTATAACAGTTCCTTTTAGCAAAAAGCCAGTCTCAGGGATGGAAAACTAGCCCAAATCACTTCTCCTTGTATTAGAACAGGACTAGGGAATCTAATTAAACATTTCCTGAACCTCCCCAGGACCATGCTGGGTTTGCAAAGGAATGTGATTTAACTGTCAGGACACGTGTGATCTTGGTTATTCTGACCTATTCCAATTAATACTCTTACTGGTTTCTGAGAGCAAAGCAACAGAATTACCACATTAAGTTTTGTTCGGAAACTCCCTTGGAGGAGTCTGCTTTTATTTTATGTAGAAAGCCAGGCTACCTTAAGGAGGATTGTAGAAAACTGAGATGGAACTTTAGAAAAAGAAAAGAAACAGTAATTTCCCCTTCTCCTTACAATACTTTAGAAGAAATTGAAAGGACCATAAAAGGGGATCCAACTAAGGCCCCTGTAGATCTAGGTGCTGGGGCTACTTTGTCTGTTCTTCCTCTAGGCTCTGTAAAAATGGTAGAAACATCTAATCACCAATATTTGTTTTAAATATATTTTACTTTATTTCAGAGAGGAAAGATGAGGGGAGAGGGGCAGAAACATCAATGATGAGAAA